CCTTGTACAACATATGCTCCAAATTCTTTACAAGCATGATAGCCCACCTCTGTACCCTCTCCAGCACATCAATGTCCCTTGTGTACTTGAAGTGCAGCCTCACCAAAAGCGAGTATAGGGGCATGATCACCTCCCTGCTCCTGTTGACAGCCCCATTCCTGATACAGGCCAGGATGCCGTTGGCCTTCTTGTCCCCCTGGGCACACTGCTGGCTCCTGTTCAGCCGGCTGTCCATCAACACCCCCAGGTCCCTCTGCCTGGCAGCTCTCCAGCCACTCATCCCCAAGCCTGTAGCGCTGCTGGAGGTTGTTGTGACCAAAGTGCAGGACCACAGAACATGTTCAGAACAACCAGGGGATCAGGCCCAACCAGCACGACTTCATGAAAGTCAGGTCTTGCTTGACCAAACTGATCTACTTCTATGACCAGTTGACCTATCAATTGGATGAGGAAAACACCGTGAACATTGTCTTTGTGGACTTTAGGAAAGCATTTGACACTGTCTCCCACAGCATTCTGCCAGAGAATCTGGCTGCTCATGGCTTAGACAGGTGTCCTCTTTGCCAGATTAAAAACTGACTGGATGGCCAAGCCCAGAGAGAGGTGGTGAATAGAGTTAGATCCAGCTGATGTCTGGTCACAAGCAGGGTTCCCCAGGGCTCAGTTTTGCAAACACTGAATACTGACATTGATAGCAGGTAAGGGAACATCGAGAATATTTACATTCCTGCACCTGCCCTGCTCTGAATAGGAGCAGCACCACAATCCCCAACAACAACAACTCTATAAAGCTCCTCTTTCCATACGTGCCACTCAGCAAACAGCAGCTGCCGACCTGCGCTCAGCCTTGGTGCAACAACCTCCTTCTCTGGCTCAGCATTGCTTCCCATCCTGGAGAATGAAATCTTACTACCCTCATTATACATTTAATTCTACTTCATTCAGAAACACAGTTATGATCATCATCACACTTCAGGCATTTGCCGGCCTGTGGATAAATGCTTTCATTGTTTCTGTGCTTTGTATTTCTTGGTTCAAAAAGAGAAGCTTTAACTCCGTTGAGAAGATCTTGCTGTTTCTGGGCTGCTCCAGGTTTTGTTTTTTGTGCATTTCATGGATATGCAGCTTTCTTTCAATGAATTATTCCTGGTGCAATTTTGTTCAACCCATACCCCAACTCCTTGTGGCTACTCAAAACTTTTTTGAAGCTTCCAACCTGTGGGTTTCTGCCTGTCTTTGTGGTTTCTATTGTATAAAGATTGCAAATTTCAGGCACACCTTCTTCACCTACATGAAAGTAAAAATTGACAGGATTGTGCCATGGCTGTTCTTGGGTTCAGTGCTTTTATCCTTGGTCATCAGCATTCTTTTCTATGACATAAAAGGTAAAGTGCTCTATATCTCTTGCAATTCCACCACCCGAGAAGATTTATTGAAACTGCGTGTAGGAATGGATGAACATTTTTTGCCTATATTTGTCACCATCGGTTTTATATTTTCCACTGCATTCATGGTAGTGCTGTTTTCTGCCCTTCTCCTCCTCTTTTCTCTCTGGCGACACAAAAGCAACATGCAGACAAACTCAATGAAGAACCTCAGCGTTGATGCTCACATCAGAGCCATGAAATTTATTCTGTTATTTCTCTTAATTTACGGCATTAACTTTACACGTTTGATCTTGAGACTAATTTATAACAGCAATAGGGATGATCCTGTGAAATTTGTCATTTTAGTGTTTCAGTATATTTTTCCGACTGTTCATTCCCTTATTCTGATTTTGAACAATCCCAAACTGGAAAAGACATGGCTAAGAACTCTGTCCTATGTGAAATGCAAGGTTTGCATGAGGTAGTACCTGGAAGAAAAGCTGAAGCCCATTAATGTTCATATTTTATTATAGAAAACAAGAAATTTAATCTCTAACACAACTCTTCAGCCAGTGCACATAACACAGGTGTTCTATCTTCACCATCTAAATCAAGGAAACTTCATGACAATTCTCTGATGTGAATTATTATGAGTTAAATTTCTACTATTTCGATGGTGCTTTGAGATAAATTTTTGTCAATAGAAAGTAATTCAGATTTGTTACATGGGCTAGCTACAAAAGGGCAGCAATAGCATTGCAGACCTAAGAATGCTTTGCTACCTGCTGATTGAAACTAGTTAAGTAAACAATATGTTTGTATTTATCTTGGTTAACATTTCTTTCTGCTGTGCTTCTGTGCTTTGTAATATTACGAGTTTTATCAGTGTCTCACACTGATGTATAACATAGGCATGACTGTGTTGATTGTTATCATTAACCCCCTGCTCTCTGCGAGTGCTGTGCTGGTCTGCTTTTATTTTTCTACAAGATCTGCTTTTAATCAGCTCAGGTAGAAGACAGACCCATCTGTGACTGCAGTCAGGCCAGTCAGGACCTCTGCAATCAATGTATTTAAGAGAGAAAATGTGATGTATCAGCCTCTTTGTCCTCTCTTTTGTGTTGGGGAGCTGTTTTTGTTTTGAAGAGGAGGGGGAGATGAGGAAGAAGAGAGGAAAGAAGGGCATCATAGCAGTTATCTCCTTGAGGCCTGTGGTGAGATGGCAGGTTGAGACCCTGCAGACCAGACAGATTAACAGCAGTGAAATGTCCAGGATGCAGACCATGGAGGATGCCATGCCGGAACAGAGGATGATGCCAGAGCAGAGGATGAGCCCCAGGGATGCTGTGACTTCAAGAGAGTCCAGGCTGGAACAGGTCCATCACTGGGAGGACTGCAACCCAAAGGAGGGACCTGCATATGTGGGAAGGACGCATGATGGAGAAGTTCCAGGAGGACTGTGTCCACTGAGATAGGCACAATGTGACAGCAGGGGAAGACTGACAGGAGTCCTTTATCCGGGAAGGAAGGAGAGGCATGGAAATGAGTAGTGGGCAGACCACAATTCCCATCCCCTGCCCTTCTCCACCGCTGGGGTGAAGGAGGTAGCGGGGAAGAAGGGAAGGTTTGGGGGAAGGGATATTTAGGATCAGGTTGTGTTTATTTCTCTCACTATCCTACTCTAATCTTGAGGATTTGGTTGAACTAGTGTACTAAATTAAACTTGTATTTCTCCCCAAGTCTACTCTGTTCTTTCCCCATGACCAGAACTAGTGAATGAACCCTCCCTGTCCTCATCTCAGTCCTCAGACATATTTGCAATAGTCCTTTCCCTCATTTCCCTCTTATCCTGCCCTGGGGGGTGTTGTGGGGAGATAACACAGAATATCTGTCACCTGGTTAGTGGCTAAAAACTGACACCAGCTCAGGCCCAGAGTGCCATCTTACCTCATGCCACATGTTAAGCGTGCATTTATTATGCATCTCAACAGGTTTTGGTTCTGCTTTTCGTAGAACAATAGAATCATAGAATGTTACGGGTTGGAAGGGACCTTGAAAGATCATCCAGTCCAACCCCCTTGCCAGAGCAGGATCCCCTAGGGCAGCCACACAGGAACGTGTCCAGGCGGGGTTG